GTTAACATTCGCTTACTAATTTAAAAGTTATAGCATATAAACTATAACAAGTACAAAATGGTTATGAGGTTGGTTCCAGAGACCAAGCCCGTGCTGAAAGAGTTAATATGGAGTTTGAATTGTTATCAGTGTCCACAGCTCACAGGCAGTTGCTTCTCATAAATAATGTTCCTGTACTGATAAAAGCATTTTTATTGATAGTTACACATAAATCATTCTGTTTTTCATTTAAAATTTTGATGATATGCATATGAATGTGAAGGGCTACTTTTGATTTGGTTTTGATGTTCTGATAGGTAAGGGCTAGCTTGAATAATCTCAGACAAGAGATTTTTAACACATAGGTCAAACTTGTTACAGTCCTCATCAGTTGCTTACTCAGAGTCTTCAAATATTTTATGATAAATTTTACCAGGGACAGAAACTTTTTCCTATTTCAAGTTTTTCCAGGTTCTTTTTAAACAACTTTATCCTCAACAATAAAATTAGCAGAAATTTTGTTACCAACCTAAAAAATTTTATAGGTTAAGAATCTCATCTTTTATCTTCAGTTGTAAAATCTGGAAAAAAATACTTTTTATCTCTTTACCATGAGCTTTTTTTCAGTGAACTGTGATTTCTCTGATTTCAAAGGAATATCACGAAAAAGAAAATTACATCCATATCATGAAGTAGCCAATAGATAGTATTTTAAACAATAATAATGAAAAATGAAATTATAACATCCTAAAATTGACTGGAATGCTTATCCACAACACTAACTTGCAATTTTTAATACATATAAAACAGAAGTATTTTATAGTATAACTAATTGGTTCTTTAACCATCAAAGTATAAATTGTCTCTCATGTAAAAGTGTTTAAACAATTAAAGCATGAATTTTGTAATTAAGTCTTTTATTATTTGTGTAAGTGAGCTAGATCACTGTTTTATTTTAGTGTGAAAAAAATAAATGTGATGACATGATTAAAGCAGTCTGTAGGGAATTAGAAAATTGAATGAGGATTTCTGAGATTTACTGCATAATAAGATTATTTCTAGACCTTGTATTAAAAATCACCAGTCAAATGAATTTACTCTACACTTTTTTGTACCTTTTTCTTTCAGCGCTGGTGTTTCGGTGTCTTGCTTCTGAAAGCATTCAGAATAGAGCTTGTAGGGCTTTAGCAAATATAGCTCTCAGCCCACAAGGTTGTAATGCTGTTCATGAACAGAAGGTTCTTCCTTTAGTGGTAAAACTTTTGACTTCAACCAAAAATCCGGGATGTCAACAGACAGCACTGAGAACTCTAAGGTAATTTCAGAAATGAATCATAGAAATGCTTGGGTTGTTATGTTTATTACCGTAATTTATATCAACATTATTGTACTTAAGTAATGCACTAGAGTATAATTCTTTGTTAATTAAAAAATTAAAAGTTGAAGGCTTTTAAATTTCGTTATCCTCCAGAAAACTTAATTTGATAACAAAAACCTGCTTGGTTAGATTAGATTGTAATTTTTTTTTAAACACATTTTCAAACAACCAATAGGGAGGGAAGTCTTTGAAAGTTACAAGGCTGTAACAATAAATATTGTGGTACTTAATAAGTGCTAAGTAGTTTGGTAGAGGCTATAGATTTCTAAGCACAGTTTATATTCCCCTATGATTTGAGTAGTCTGTTCATTTATGTCTTTGTGTCAAGTGGTTATCTTGTAGCATACGTGATATCTTGCAGTTTGGTAAGCTAGCTTGATGTTGAAGAATGTTCATATGTTGTGAAGAGTTGTTCATCTTGCCACATGCCTGCTAACAACAGTCACAAATCCAAGCTTGCAATTTGTTATTTGGAGAGGTAGTTCAATGATAGTATTTAGATATGGAGCATACCATTTTTTTTTCTTTGTGACTCATAATCTGCATTATTGCTTCATATAAGTATTCTTGAATAGTGTGTAGACTACAAAAAAAAAGTAAAAGACCGGTAAAGAAAGCAAACTGCAATGTAGTCATGTAAGTAATTAATGAATTTCAGAAATGCAGTGTTATTAACATTTTGCTTGAAAAATGGCAATTCTTTTATTTTGTTATTATACAATTTTCTCTGTATAGATAAGATATTTACTGAAACATTGTGGGTACTCAACTATAATTAATAAACTGTAGAAGTGCATAGTGATATTGAACAACATTTTACTTTAAAAATTGTAAGATTTTGTTAAATCCTGCTTTAGTTTTCTGTTTGTACATAAGATACATAGCATTGCTTAATTCATTAATATGCCTTTTTATTTTTTAACTTGTCTATTACCAAGAATATTAGGTAACACAGTTGAGCATAGACAAGAAATAATCTGTCAAGAAGGTGTACTCCTTGCAGCTGACCTACTGTCATCAGAAAACAAAGATGTGGTTATTGCCAGTGTCAAGACCTTATCTTCTTTAACTAAGCAGTGCAGTGTAGAATGTGCTCAACAGGTTAGAGTAGTTGAAAATTAATAGCCATTAAGGTTACATGCAGTATAAACCTATATATGTATGTATTTATAGTTCTAGTTCATTTAAAATTTAGAATTTCACATTTTTAGTATACAGGATAGATAAGGGTTGTTTTTTAAAAACAAAATTGATTTTGTAGATGCTGCGTTTCAATCTACAGTAATCACTTGGAAGGAGAACTAACTAAAAGATTGTAAATTGTAAACAAATATAAATGTATGTTGTAAACTCTACTAGTAAATACATCAATTTATTAAAATTCTGGGAGGTTTCCCTTATTCTTGATGATGTCAGTTTGTGGTGGCAATACATAGGACAAATTTATTACATATACAAATTTATATTTATTATACTTTGTGTAATCATAAACCATAAATATAACTTGTGTAATTTGATTGAAAATGACCAAAACCTGTGCTTCATTTATGATTAACTCTAACATTGTGTATTGTTTTTTTCTGACTTTAAGAATCAAAGCCTGAATAAGATTACTAAATATTTATCTTAGACCTAAAAACAACAATATTATTTCATGAAATCTTCCTAGTGATGATTTAATGAAATGTCTGTTTACATAAAAAGAACTTTTCTATCTAATTATTTGTTTAGCTGTGATTATTTGACAGTATCACAGCACTCATTGGTGACATTAATGTATCTGTAATCAACTAGCTTTTAAAAAGTCTTTAGACCAATTTATATCAGAATGTACAAAATTAGCAACTTAATTGTTTTTGAACATTGCAGGCAAAAACAGATAAAAAAAAAATGTCATAGCAGTTGTTCATATTATGTCAAAAACGACATGTCTATATAAAGTTAAAGAAAAGTTCCTTGTTGCCATCATAAGATGGCTTGTAAGCTAAAAGGTAAATGACATTTTTCTCTACACATGTGTTTAGTACAAGCATTAACTCTTGTCTGTGCAGTATTAGCTTAATAAGAACATATGTTATTACGAAGGCTTATTGGTCAAAATGAAGAAGGTTAGATTGGTAAGATAACCAGAAATATACAATTTGTTTTTTAAGCGTAGCTGAATGTGGGCTGGCTTTTTAAATTTTTTAATGTTCATTGATAAATTAGTTTGAATAAGGTGACTATAAAAAATGGGTTAAAGCAAAAAAAAATCCTCTTAAAGTTTCAGGAATCTTGTACAAATTTACTAATGAAATTTTAAGATTCACAAGAATATTGGCTTGAGGATGTATCTGTTATTATAGGTTTTTTTATATTCATAAAGGTATCTTTGATATAATTTGTGATGCAATGCAATAGAATAAAACTTTGAATATATTACAAAGGCTGATGTATCAAACATAAAATATGGCTGTGTAATTTTTAAGATACAAGAAGGGCGATCTTTGCCAGTCCTTGTAGAGATGAGCACATCTACAGAAAAACCAATCCAAGAAGATGCTCTCATCATTTTAGTGAATTTAGCTGGACAGACAGCAATACGTCCAGAATTGGGGAATGCTGGTGCTATTCCTGTATTTGTAGAACAAATCAAGAGTTCAGAAAATGAGAGGCCAGGTAATGATTATCATTTAACCTTGGAAAGGTAATTATTTGGTGATTAGAAGTAACAAGTTATTAATGTTTTATTTATACGATAATTAAGTAGATGTAATGTCAACCTAGTGTTGGCAGCAGGTTAATGGTAAACATTATTAACTGTGAGAAGAAGAATATTAATGATGAGAATTGAAACAAATTAACATCTTGTATAAAAAAAAAATCTTCATTGTACTAATTATGGAATTTGCTTGATGTGAAGCAAATTAAGTCATTTCTGTGAATATTAAAATTCCAGTCAGAAAGAGTATATATGCAAAAGTAATGCATAATGGACAGGATCACACCAACATAGCTGTAACACTGGCACAGAATTATATCAATGCAACTATGACATTAATACAGAATTATAGGAGCATAGCTCACAATTACACGGGGTCATAGCAATGCTACTTTACCACTTAAATATAAACACAATAATATAGCTATAACATTAATACAAAATTATAACAATGTAACTTAGCTTCACAAGACCATAGTAAAGTAAATGTAATTATGGAAGTAACATAAGAACACAGTACGTTCACTTGGACAAAACCTGTATAAAAAAAAATGCTTCTATATTTTTGAAGGGTGTACAAATTGTTTCCAAGGGACAAATGTCCAAATTAAAGGGGCTTGTTTGTTATTTTAGCTACATGAACTGCAGCTAGCAATTGGTAAAAACAACATTATTGCTAATTGTCCATATTTAAGGTTGGCAAAACCCGTCGAGCATGTACGAATTATTACCAATGTGTATATTTAAAGTTAACTTCTTCATTCGTATTTGAAATTTTTGTTCCCCTCTGAGCTTTCCTCATCACCATTACTTATAGACCCTTTTAAACACCAATCTACAGGGAATCAGACCATTTAATTGTTCTGAAGAGGTTATAATTTTATCAAGTTGAGTTGTATAAAGTTATTAAATATGATGTAACAATAATAAAAACCGTATGTGAACCTTGATTAATGAATCTAACATGCATCATTTCCCTCGTTAATTATCATGACTAACAGCAGAAAAATATGTAAGATACTTTACGAGCTTACCACTCACCAGATAATGTTACACATGATACCATTACTATTGCCCAAATTAAATAGATTAGAGAAATGGGAAGTTTAAGTCTGGATTTAGTTCTTTTCATACAATAATATATTTAGGTAAGCTTAATATTTGCACAATACATCTGTGTAACCATAACATTCATTCAAAATCGTGGTAGTGATTGTTATTGTTGTTTAACAGTAGAATAACCTAGGGTTACAAACTGAGGGACTAAATATGAACAACAGCACAGAGATATCTTTGTGCATCCCTCTATCTGCACAATTTTCACTCACCATTACTTTTGAGGCTCCTGCCTAAAATCACCTGTTTCAATATGATATTGCTGTGCTGTAGCATGGGACAACCCTTCACCAATAGGAGTATGATACATCCTCCTAGCACAGCTGACTTCCCCTCTACTGATTGTGCTATCATCACTTCTTGATTTGGCACTTGCATGTGCAGACATGTAAATTTTTTTTTATGTCTGTGATTAATATTTCACTTTTTGACAACTATGTTTCTGTTGTCTTTGCTTTGTTTGTGGAAGACTGTTGATTATTATTTTTTTCCCTTCCTTTCCACATTATGAACTGACAAGTTCATATTACTGTTGAGGATCCACAAGTTTTTGATCCTGCTAGGCAGATTATTACTGTGGTGTTTGGCTTCTCTCTTTCTATTGAGGAGGTGTAGACTAGTGCATTGGGAATTGGAGTCTGTTTTCTGACCTGAGGACAGATATTCCTCTTCCTGGGAATCTCGTTCAAGAGTATGATTATAACAGCCTGTTTCTGCCACTTGCTTTTGCTGCACCTTCTCAATCCACTGCCATTGATCTACCTCATTCATCTTGGACATTGTGTTTCAGGTTTCTTAACTTTTATCACTTTCTCATGTATCCTATGATTTCTCTCCTTTCTTGCTCCATTTTGGACCTACTTCTGGTTATTTTGTTTTTCCCCCTTCCTCAGATATTCAAGTCCATGCAGATCAGTTTCTTTCCAACCTTCATGCTGGAGCCAGCATGCCTCATCCCCCCCCCTCTCATTTGCAGACACACATGCCTTTTCAGGACTCTCAGACTTCAGAATCTCTTATTCAGGTATGGGGATCAAATCCTTTCTCTTCTTATTGCCTTTCCTCTATCCAATTCTCTCGTCTTTGTCTCACCCTTACTTCTTTACTTCGTTATCTCTCATCTGTCCACCTGTTTTCTGAGGCTATCCACTATTCCCCTGAGAAATTTTGGGTGGATACTAGTTCTCTTTTCTACACTGGCACATTTATCTTCTTGAGCTTTGTTGTTGAGACCTATTGGGCAGGGATACTCTGCTATTTCAGGTACATTTGTCAACTTCCTATCTACATGATCTTATACTGGCTCCATTCCTTTGTCATTCTATTTTTGGAGGGGTCCCCGATTCATTGGAATCTCATGTTGAGGCCACACATTAACACTCCTACATTTCTTCTTTTGTTTCCCCTCTATTGAAATCCTCTCTTGCACCTGCAACTGTATCCCATCCACCTGCTTCCTCTCCTTTCCCTGTACTCTTTCTCATGTTTCTCTCACCATCATCTTCTTTGCCATCAAAATCAATAGTGACTATCTGTTAGGTTTAGGTTTTGTAGGGGCACAGTTGGCCCAGTTTGCTCACTTGTGGCACCTGTTCACAGCAGATTGTTGGGTCCTTAGAGTGTTATCAAGAGGACTGGATCTTCAATTTTCCTCCCCTTCTCCTTTGTCTCCCATTTCCATATTTTTCTCTCCTTCTTGGGATCTGGTTTTTTGCCAACTGGAAAAGTCATATCTCACACTCAGCCAGTGTCTTATTCATTTGGGTGTGTTTTTCACTTATCACCTCAGTGGAACCCACCCTTTTTCTCTTTGTTTGCAGCACATGGAGTGGTTGGTTTCCAGTGCCATATCCTCTCTTTCTCTCACTGAGTGGGAGGTTCTCTCTCTCTTTTGGGGACTTGGGCTTCCATAGAATCTCTTATCCCTTTGGATCATGCTCATATGCATCATCTTCAATGGACTCTGCATGATCAGTGGAACCTTGTTCTGAATCCATTGTCCTCTATCATTCACCTTCCTTCCTCCCTGCAGGTTGAATTCACTTGGTAGATATTTAGATTCATAAGAGATTTTGGGTTGGTGGTTTGAAGTAGAATCAATTCTTCATATCAGTCTCTTGGAATGTTGGCAGTGCACTGAGCTTTGGATTATTTTCTTTTGACAACCCATGGGTGTCTCATAATGATCCATACCAACAACTCTCTTATATCAATTGTCAAGGGGACACCCATTTTCATTCTCTGTTTTCACACATCAGACCACTTTTTCTGAGCCCATTTGTTACACATTCGTCTTATTGCTTGTCATATCCCAGGCAACCTGAATCTTTTTGCTGTTCATCTCTTGTGACCCAATAAGATTTTACTGACAGAGTGTTCCCTTGATCTTCTGGTATTCAAGTAATTATGTTCTCAGCTGGGAACTTCCCTTCTGGATGCTTTTGCCACTCACCTCAATACCAAACTTTTACTGTTCTGGTTACTGGTTCTGATTCTGGCAGCTTTGGTTGTAGTTGCATTCAGCCAGGACTGGTTCCACCTTTTTCTTTATGCCTACCCTCCTATTTATCTTCTCCCATGTGTTTTTCCCTCATTCAGACCACTCCGTGTTGAGTCCTCCTGATTGTTCTGTATTGGCTGGCTCAGTTGTAGTTTCCTCTTTTGAAACTTATACTGTCCTCCTCTTCTTCTATTCCAATCCCTCTTGCTTCAAACGTGTTACTCTCTCTTCCATCCAACAGCCTCTGCCCTCTGCCTCAATGTGTGCATTTTGTCTGATCCCTTGCAAGATGCTCTGGACTTCCATCATGTGTAGCCTTCCTCCTTTCTTGTTCTGTTCCTTCCTCCCTACCTCCTTGTATGTCAGCAGAAGTGGCTTATTTTCCATCATTGGTCTCTGCATCATGGCTCCCACTCCATTCCTGCCCTTCTGTTCTCCACAGCACAGGTAAGTATCTATCAGAAATACACTTTCATTGTTGGAAAATGTTAACTTTAAAAATATGTAGATGTGTTACAGAGAAATTAGTTACTTAAATTTAATATTAAATATACATTTCATATTTTATTTTATCTTTTTGAGCATTCTGCAGTTTCTTGTTTGACAGCTAGCTTATTAATAATGAGGTTTTCCTCAAGTTTATATTTAAGTACCACCTAATAAGCAGAAACGGAAGCATTTTTGGTCAAGGTTTTGCCTTGGTGAATATCAAGTTTACGCTTTTGTATTTCTGTGTTAATGCTACAGCTCGTGTATTCTTGTGCTACTTTCATATTTAAATTTACATTACTGTGTTATTGTGAAGATATAAGTTATATTGTTATGAGCTTGTATTATTGTTAAAGGTATGCTGCTGTGACTTGTGTTATAACAGCATTATTACATGTTAAAGCCACAGTCACATAGCTATGATCTAACCTATATAAACGGCTGTGTGTGTGTCACATCACACTTGATTTCTTGAAATAGGAGGAGTCATAAAAGCCAAAATGCATTATCCAGATAGAATAGTTTGATTAGTGTTTGTCCATTATGATTTTAGTGATGGGGGTGAAACGGGGCCATGAAACCTTATAAGTGTAGTGATTGTTGGTATAATAAGCGTAAAGACGTAGTTTGGGATCACCTAGCCTAGAGCATAAAATTTATCATGAAAATATCGATTCAATTTTAAATTTAAATCATTTCTGAATTAAGCTATTTTCTATTATATCACCACCTCTTTAATCAGTGGAGACTAATTTAGGAAATCAATAAACATTTTTCCAGTTTTGTTGTCTCTGCATTTCATTTTATACTTACAGTATATAGACTAACAACAATATTAAGTTATACTTTTGTTGCTAAGCAACATGACATAAAAGCCATTGTTGGAATGTAGTGTTACCAAAATGCACTGGCTTTTCTATATATTAGAAGTTGTTAATCTAACTGATTTTTACCAATAATTATTCTATGAATATATCACAAATTCATATCATGAGTGATCTTAATTTTGATGGGCTCACAAAGAAATTGACCAATTTTTGACTGCCTCAACTGCACTTTTCTCTCTCTTTGTTGGTCAAGCTTGATTTTGCAAAATTTATTTATTTTGGTTAGCTATGAAATATGAGGTTATGGTATACTATGGGGTGGGGGTGGTAGTACTTGCCCAGTCATTTTTGATGGGCCAGGCTTTTTGCCAGTATTGTATAATTGTTGGTTATGCTGTTAGAATTCTGTATGAGTGTGATAGTTAAATGACTGTGATTCTGTGCTAGTCACAACTATGTTGCTGTGATTCTGTTTATTATACATTACTTTTCTATATATATACTCTTTCTAGTTGGAACTTCAATATTTTCAAAAATTTGTTATTATGTAATCCATGATATTGTTTGGTAACATTTTAATTATAACTGTATTGTAAAGTTAGATATAAAATATTGCATTAAAGCTAAATAGTGATATTTAACTTGAAGAAGGTAAATAGTGAATTGAAATTAAAAGCATTTAATGTGCATGTGAACTTATTGGTAATAGTAGACACTAAAGTATATTAAGTGTGAATTATTTACAAATATATGATTTAAAAATTTATCAGTAAACTAAATGAGGAGGTATGTATGATCTCTAACATAAAGAAATCAGATAATATATGAACTTATATTACTATGATCTTGTGAAAATAAATTACTTTGTTATGATTCTGTATTATTGTTACAGTTATGATGTTGTGATTGTATGTGTTATATTAGCATTATTATGTGCTAAACCCACAGTCACATTGCTATGACATTGTGTAATTTTTATCAGTTATGTCACCTTGTTTTAGGCAATAGTGCAAGTAGTATATAGCTGGTATCAAACTAACTTAGGAAGTTTACATTAGGCCTAAATCAAAATGCTTTGTAGTAATGCACAATAACCATTCAATAAGCATGCTTATCATGCTAAGATATCTAAGATTCTTTAATTATATGTTTAAATTTAACCACTATGATGAAAAAATAATTACTTGTACATGCTTTTGATATTTTGTTGTTGTTTGTAAATTGTATGATTTACAGTTTATTATTAATGCACAAAACAATGAACTTCAATGAATTTTGGATGTTGATTCACACTTATTGGTTTGTCAAAAGTAATATTTTGATACATGGAAATTAGTATGAGTAAAAGAAATTGTAGTTTTGTAACTTTTCTTGGTTCATCATAAGAAGTTTAGTGTTATCAAGAAAACAAAGAAGTGATTAAACTATTTTATACTGTATATTGTACTGGATGTACTTTTGGAAAAAAAGAAGGGGTAACCAAGTTTTTTGTTTTTTGTAGGAACAGCTGCACTTGTGACAGCTCTTTGCTACTGTTGTCGAGAGGCTATCAACCGTGTTAGGATTAGGGATGCACAAGGATTGAAGATTCTACTGGATATTTTAAGAGATACTCAGAAAAAACCTTTACATTCACGAATCATCACTTCCCTCTTGGCTTTCCGATATGATGAGGAAAGTTTGGATGCTCTCTTGAATCTAGACATGCTCTCAGTGCTAGTGGAGCACATGCAGCTCTTCATTGATGAACACAGAGGAGATCATAGAGTGAAATCAAAACCTGATTGCAATAGTAAGAAGACCAAAGCTGATGGATTGGTAGGTGCTGTAGTAAAAGATGATGTTAAACATTGTAACAGAGAGTCAAGCAGAACCCAACAAATGGAAACATCTTCTACATTCAACTCAAAGCATCAACAAATAGTAGAGATCTGCACAAATTGTACCCAGAGTGCTGAAAGCAAAAAAAAGCAAAATAGTCTTAACCACTTTGTTGACATTGATAAATCAAGTGATTCAGTCATCAAAAGTAATGAACCTAAATGCACTGAGATACAATCTGAAATCAAGTCATCTCAGACCAAAGGTGATGAATTTCAATCGTGTATAGATTCTTTTATGTCTGTAGGTGAACAACGTTCTTCATCGGCTAACTCTCTTGCGACTGATCATTTTGAACTCATGCCATCCATAAATGTTCTCAAGGCTGAAGGTGACAAAAAAGACTTTGAAGCAATAGAGTATGGGAGAAATTTTAAGGAATTTCTTAACCAGGATGATGATATTTTGGATGAAGAAGTTGCAAGTATGACACAATCACTTCAGAAGTCTTCATCTTCATCAAGAGTGTTTTGTATTCATAGCCCAAGCTATCAGCAGGTACAGAATGAACTGGTGTTAGATGAGAATCAGAGTCTCAGTTATGTTTACTCAAGGGATTTTCTTAGTCCAAGCAGTGCATTAAGCTACTGTTATTCACCAGATAGATATTCAGTGGATTCAAACCTATCACCAGTCATGTACAGTCCACAACACTCCCAGTCATCTGGTGTATCACCAGGTACAACATCACCCATCTTTCAGTTTACAGACACTACAAGTGTGTGTTTTTCCCCAAAAGATTTTGATGTTTTGTATTCTCCCCCTTCTTCTCCAGAGTCTCAGGGCTCCCCAGATGGTTCGCTTGATGTTTCTGTACCTTGCTATTCTCCTGTATGTGAAGAATGTTTTTCAGACAGTGAAGAAGGTAAAGAAAAGAATAAGGATGGTTTATCTTGTGCAGCTTCAGCAGAATTGTGTACTACAGTATTACAAAAAACTGATTTTGGAGTTCCGTTGAATAAAGGTAGACTGTCATCCAAAGAAACTGCAGCTGAAATGTGGAAACTTTCTTCTAAAAAAAGAAAAAGGTTTCAAAGACCTTGTTCATCTACAATTTCATCTTCAACCCATAAACAGGAAAAACGTAGCAGGCATGATTCAGCAGCTAGTGCATCTACACAGCGCAGTGACGTAGAAGATGAAAAAGATAATGAACACACTGTAGGTGGCATTATTTTACTTATTTTCTCACAGCTCTCTCAGGTAGAGAAATTCTGCCCTTGGCTAGCCACCTCCAAAGCATGTGTTCAGGTACTATTAAATTACCTGACATCTCTCTCTTTCCCTTCTCCCAGAGCTGAACGTATCTTGTTAAGATTAACAAGTAATTATCAAGGTTTTGAAAAACTTGTGGGTTTTGAAGTGGTGATTATGTTATTAGAGCAGCTAGAATTAAAACATGACATAAAGTTGTGTTGGAGCTGTCAAAGGTTAGAGATGCTTCAAAAAAAACTTTTCATCAATTTAAGGATGATAGCTGAGTCAGATTATGGCAGAGGAGTGTTATCTCATGTTCTCTTAGTTGGGCAGCTTTTTGAAAAGATCACACATGTTATAGCAATTCCTCTTGTTGTTAGGTGAGTGTCACATTGTCCATGGATATTCACAATATCTTACTGAGACAGAAACTAATTGATTTTTGTTCTTTGCTAGACAAATTAATTAACAAAAAAGAGAAGAGGGCACATAATTTACAAATATTTTATATTTCCAAACTAAAAAAGAAATGTGTGACATACATCCTTATCTGTATGGTTATTACATATCTTAGTTTTATATAAAGCATTTAAAAACATTTTTTGTAGCTATTCAATTAATTCCTAAATTAATATTTTTTTTTTACATATTTTCCAGTATTTAAAAGTCAAACAAAAGTTAACTATGTTTATTAAGCTTGTTTGGTAGATCACAGTGATAGTTTCCTCTGGAGTACTTATAATAATGTTCAACTGAAGGTTCTACAATTTCAAAAGTTTAGTTTTGATTGCACTAAGTTCATATTTTGGTAATGACATAATCTATTCATGAAACACTAGGTAGTATGAGTGAACAAGTTTAAGTACTTTTTTCAGCACATTGTTGTAGTTAGCTTTCAATTCCCATATTTTATATTTTTTCTTTTATCAGACGAAAGTCACTTCTTGAAAACCTGATGATAAAGTGCAAAGGACTGGATGTATTACTGGACGTTATTCAAAATCAAGACTCCCCACTCTTCCCTTCTTGTGTGAGAAGCCTCTCAATGCTATGCTGTAACCTGGGTGTTGAGTCACTGAATGATTCTCAAGGCAGTAGATTATCTTTTCCTTATGCAAAATGTAAATATGCTGCTGAAAGTTCAACTTCTGATGTTTCTTTTGTGCTCAGTGATGGTGCTGCTGTTAAAGCAAACCGTGAGATACTTAGTAGAAACTCTGACTACTTTAGTGCTATGCTTCAAGGATCATTTTTAGAGTCAACAAAGCACACACTCTTTCTCCCAGATGTGCCCAGTGATGCCCTGATTTTGGTGTTTCATTATTTATATAACTGTGATTGTCCAGCTCTGAAAAAAGGGTCATTGGGAACAATGTTGGATACTCTAACTCTCTGTGACAGATTGTTACTCACAGATTTACAGAGACAATTAGCAGAAGCTATTCTCCAACATCTGACCCCAGAAGAAACTTGTGATATTTATTATCATTCCAAACAACACAACTGCATTCCACTAAAAGATGCAGCACTAAAGTTTGCTATGGTAGGAAAGATGACACATGTGGAGCGTTGTTGCTGTTTGGCTGAGCTGCTGAAATGTCCAGATGATGTTGTACCTGATATTCGTTCTCTAATAATTGGATGCTTTCCTGAGATCAAAGACCAAGGACAGTAAAGACTGTCCACATTGCTAGAATGTGTATTTGACTAATTTTTAAGATATTAAAACCAAGAAAAGGAATAGCTGTCAATTTTACATTCAACTTTGTTTTTCTTTCTACAGGAAGCAAAAAAGGAAATTTGTTGCATATTACGAGGAGGGACAGTTGAATGTTTTAAATTTTATCCATGAATAATTTAGTATTAGACTCTATTAAAATCCCTGTCAATCTACCAGCTTATTTCATGTAAAAAGTAAATTGTTTCCTTCCTAACAGCTTTATATAAAAAAAAATTGGACTGTAGGAAAATTTCGTGTTTGAAATATAAACTGTGTAGTGTAGTACACCTGATATAAATGTGAAAATATATCTGTGGTACTTATATTTAGTAGTTATGGTTCTCCTTGTCAGTTACAAAAAACTAACTGTGAATATACTTTCCATTAGATAAATAGCTTTTAAGGTCCTGGAATTGTGGGTAACACATCGTAAGCTAGTTGTGAAGTTTCTTAGACCCTAAAAATGTGGTTAATGTCACACCCTCTAGTTAATTAGTTTCTGGGGCCCTCTATGGGTAATGCAACATTAACTTGTTAATTAGCTTCTGATATCTTTCATCAGTTAATGCATCATTTGCTCAGTAACATGTTTCTGATATCCTCCAGCTTGGGTTAATTCACGATTTACTAGTAATCTATTTTCTGAGGCCATTCAACTGTGCATAATGTATCTTTATCTATTTGATTAGTTTCTGAAATTCCCTGGTTTCTGAGGTCCTCCAACTGTAGATAATGTATCATTTGCTAGTTGAGTAGTTTCTGACATCATTCAGCTAAGGTTAATTCATAATTTATTAGTAGAGTAGCTTCTGAAGTCTTTATACTGAGGGTAATGCATTTTCTGTGTGATGACTAGTGTATGAGGTTCTCAGCTATGACTAATCCATGGTTGATAATTTTATGAGGTGTCCTCTTGTTCTAGATAATACATCACTTATTAGTTGATTTGTTTCTGATGACCTTCAGCTGTGTTATTTGCCAATGCATTGTCTGTTAGTTGACTAGACTTTTGGGTTATTGCTACACCTTTTAGTTAACTAGAGTCTGAGGTTGTCTAGCTGAGTTTATTGCATTAACTGCTAAATTACTAGTTTTTAAGTTTCTCTAGTTGTAGTCAGAGGTTCCTCAGAAGTAATAAGTGGATTATCTGATAACTGTATAGTTTCAGAAGTGGTATAGTAATTGATGCTTTTTTTAACATGTCTGTGGTTCATCATCTATAGTTCATGTAATAGTTGATTCATGACAAGTATCTGAGGTAAGATCCTCCATTAATGATCTTTGCATCTTATATATACTGCAAACTGTCTGTCTCCTGTTTGACAAGCTGCATACTCTGGCAAAGCTCAACATTCACTTTTGAAATGACTGGAGAACAGGCATGGATAATGTTGATTCCAAATTTTATTTCACAAGCAGGATATTCTAGACTAAATTGTTAGGAATTAATCACACTATCATTCACATTTCAAACTATAACTGTAGATTTATTGTATGTTGTAGCTGAGTAGTTCTTAGCATGACTGAAATGCTCAACAATTACTTTTCTCGGTGGCTGGTATGAGTGGCTCAGAGCTTTGGCTCTGAGTGAAACCAAGAGTGCAACACAGTTAACCTTTTTAATGTCCATGAAATAAGTTAAAATGATAGATTAACTTAAACTTTTCCTGTCACTGGGTATGGGTACTTTTGCTTATTATCTCATAGCTTACAAATTTACATGCCTCTAATCTTTGCATCATCTTAGAATTGATCAGTTTCTGAATAACTTCTTTTTTTGCAGGTTTTTGAAAATTTTCTTTTGTAAAAGACTAATATGCAACGTTTAAGACCAAGAATATTTGGAAGTATTTTGTAATGGTCTTTACTAAAAAATGACTGAAGTTTGAATACAAAGGGAAAAGTATTTTGCAATTTGTCAGCATTTCTACTCATTTTAGGATAGCTGACTAGCATTTTTAAAAGCAATAACTCAGTGATAATCCAGCAGCTAGGAGATTACTTTCTTTTCTACTTGTTAACCAGTTTCTGCATTTTAGAAAATTGATACTTAATAATAATCATTCTCAATAAAGACCAAGTTTTCAAACTCTGGAAAAGGGTAAAGGAAGTTTTTAATTTGAATGTATATTTTTTATTTATTGTAACCTTGACTATGCTAAATTTATGTGAGAACAGCTTTTGTGCAACTAGCAGTCGTAACGTTTGGACAGTGTCCTGTCTAACATACAGCTTAAAACCCTCATAAGTCCATTGTCACTACCAAAACTGATGTCACTATTGTGACTACTACAAAGCCTGTGACTATCTCTGACATGGAACTACATTAATAGATACAACACTGATCACTTTAATCTGGATCTGAGTTTGTTGATAATACAGAAACCACACCTAGTTTTAATAAGAGGTCAATTTCATAGATATCACAAAAACTTTGATGTCCATCATAAAACTTACAGGTAGCCTGTAATTATTGTCATAGCCAGGCCTGGCTTCAGCTCCTCTCCATTTGGGAAGGCCAGTGGAGCTGTTGTTGACTCTTCTTAGCAATTTGAAAAAAATCATACAATTTTTAAAAATTAATAATATGGTTTTTAAACTGCTATAGAAAATGAACTTGAATGGGCCAGAGTGAAGTTATGGGGTGCATGGCCCACCCCTAGTGCTGATCCTGGTCATAGTTTCCATCTAATACCTTAAAGGAAATTTGAGGTTACTGCTTTATATTCCACTAAAGCCATAGTTCTAGTTGGAGATCGCTATCGTGGCTACCATTTAATTTCTTAACTGTTGTATGAAGTTACTGATAATATTATCAAAAGTTCAAAACTCTAATTTGGGATCGTTGTCTTAGGCTACCTTTAAACCCCATATCTCTATCTCTAACATTTCCAAAACCTGTAATTCTAGTTTGAGATCACCATCATAACTAACTGTAATTCCATTAACTGTCAAGATAGAGCTCATAATTCTTTATTTGAAATTAGCTTAGATACTTTTCATCAAACTTTGTGGTTTCCACCATATTCCAGAACTGTGGTTGATATAAAGTGAAAGAATCATATGGGTAGCATATTGGAAATGTAAAACTTCAGTGAGTTTTTTCCACCATGGTCTAGAACTGTGGTTGAAACAAGATTGAGAGTTGTACGGGTATTGTATGGGAAATGTAGAACTTTAGTTGGCTTGTCTCCACCGAAGTCTAGAATTGTGGTTGAAACAAGGTAAGAGTTGTACGGGTATTGTATTGGAAATTTAGAACTTTAGTCGGCTTGTCTCCACCGAAGTCTAGAACTGTGGTTGAAACAAGGTAAGAGTTGTACGGGTATTGTATTGGAAATGTAGAACTTTAGTCAACTTGTCTCCACTGAAGTCAAGAACTGTGGTTGAAAATGGTGAAAGAGTCGTATGGATAGTACAATAGAAATATAGAACTTTAGTCAGCTTGAATACAGTCTTTAATGGTTGGAACAGAGTTGATGAATGAGATGAAAACAAAGACAGAATAATAATAAGTTATTGGTAAGTCTAGGATAACATCTTACATGACATGTGCTTCATCTGTATATTTGGAAATGTAGCATTATTTTATTTTTATCTAGTTGATACTGGTTTTATTTTATAATTTCTTAACAAATTATTTTGTTTAATTATATGATTTACTGTTGGAAGAGTTTATTAAATGGGATGATTATGGACATCACTCTCAATTTAATAGTTTCTATAACAATATTTCTTATGAATTGGCCTTTTTGCAATTTTACTGATTTAAGTTATATCTTTCTTTCAGTACATTTCCATTAGAAAAGTAATACAGATCATCTTTTAGAACACTGTCTTTTTTGTTTGGTATGTAACAGTTTGACAATCATATATTATTGTGTTTATAATAAGTAAGTCACTTTTTTCTGCGTGTGTTTATTACAGGTTGAGTACATTATATTAAAACAATCTTGAATATGTAAATTGGCAATTCACACGACAACCACAACAGTGTAATGGCATGTATTGGAACTACATTTTGATTTTGATGTTCAAGAGTAGTGTGGGAAGGTTATGTAACAGCTCCTTCTGATACAAAATACTCATGAACTCAGATAATAAAGATTTACTCTGATTGGCGATTCAGAATTTTCAAGATGGGAATATTCCTTGTACTTGATGGTGTTAGAAAACAAAAGAATTTGGATTAATTTGGGACCCCAGGACCATCCAAAAAGAGACCTGTAACAAGTCATTACCCAGCTGTGGTAAAAATGTGTTTTGTCTTGTCAAAAGTGAGAATCTATAACAAAACAAAATTCAGTAACAGAAGCAGTCCACATGTTTCATGCAAGAATATGCAACATAATCAAAAAGGATCTCTACCTGAAAAGCAACACAAATTACATGTAGTCAAGTTGCTTACACAGAATATCTATTCAGTCATTGCATATATCAGTCATCTGGAGAATGAAATGGGTATTCATGCTAGCCCTTACAAAGATACAATCAGTCTATGGATTTCTTATATTAGCTGGATTATGGAAAGCCAGCAGGGAGAAGGGAAGTTGTGCTTTTGACATGACAGCCTTATGATGGAGCCATTTGCAATGGAAACTATGGTGCAGGGCTATTGTTAAGATGCACAGTCATCAGATAAGAGTATTACCAGACCTAACAACAATTTAAGGTTCCAAAATTGTTTTAATATAACCTACTCAACCTCTGTAATACTTTTGGATGTTTTTATCACAGAGGAAGCATAATTTTATGTAGTGTAATATACATGTGTCACAAGTGTCATGTATATGGTGACAGTGTTACAGAATTATAATTTATATAACATGTAAATATTACAGAGTATTTGGTGACATTGCTATAGAAATAGAAGAGGTTGCTGAAAATATATGGAAAATAGAGAATTAATAATATAGGATGGTACTCTTTTTGAAAACATATGCAAAATTGAAGTTCATTTTCCATAAAACACGTAATCCCTTTTTGAAATTGAGAAGACCTTGTCGGTATGTCCCAGGCCATACTAAACAACGTTACTGTTTTTGTGGATGATATGTATACTGTACCTATATCCTTGATGCCTTTTTATTAATCATGAAAAAATTAACAAAATAAACATCCTCTTTATATGTAGTTTACAATATATATGAATATTTATTTGTTTGAAAGTAGAAAGCTGGTGGATCTTCTGTTTGATGCTTCAGCATGTAACAACTGTTCACTTAACAAATTGAAATTAGGATAACCTAAAAAAGTTAACAAGTTGAGTAATCAATGGTGTTGTGTTATTCACAAAATTTTTGTTTATATAAACGTGGAACAATTTGTGTACAGTATATACATTTTCCTTTATCTTCATTATATTTAACTCAGTGCTATAAACAATCATTTGTCATAAAAAGTACTTCATTTCAAAGCTTTTGGAAACAGAGCTTGGAGATTGCTTCTTCATATAACTAATATTTAATCTGTTGTCTCAATCAATAACCATTGAGTATGTATTACATAAGATGTATGCATTGAAGAATGCATATAATTCTAAACTGTGCAGTATATTAATGTTTCCAACATATTTAACAACACAGCAACTGGTAAAGCCCAGGTTGTGTACATACATATACTATAACAGTTGGACTGAGATTCACTTGAGAAAAAAAAATAATTAAAAAAATGCCTTAAAAAGTTTCTTTATTATGCTAATTTTACAAAATGCGAACTATGATTATATAAAATGAAATACAAGACAAATTCTTTTGGAGATTTTACTGATACATGGATAGCACTGATAAAAATAAATATTCCCTCATGATGTTTTCCAATATAACCTAGTTGTAGTGATGCAGTTATGAGTTAGTGATTTATCAGAATAAATATCGATGTATTATCTTCACTGCTCAGTGGGCTTTAAATCTTTGGGAACTTAGACACATGGATAACTATAATAATTTCAGGCTATACTTTTAACAAAAAGCATACTCCTTTCATTAGTAAATTCTAAAAAAAATATAGGTCAAATAATATGTGATTCAGCATATATATATATACGCACACATTATAAATGCTAACAATGATCTTATAAACTTGCTGAAGGGAATATGATTACAAACAGTAAATGTATGAATTTATTTTGTCATTTCTTCCCAAAAACCTGTAAATCGAATCAGTTGAAAGTCAACATTAAATCACTTGAGTAGTTGCCATGTGTGTGCAGTAATAGAGCTGTGAAAAACTGTGTATTACCCAAGATAAGAGGTATTGCTTTCTTCAGCTTTACAAGTAAATCTGAAAATGTTACTTTCACCCAAAAAATGTTTACAATAAGATGACAAAAGAGAATTTTATCACTTCAGTATTTCAGCAACTTTTCAGTGTTTTACCTACTTGTAGTTAACCACATAACAAAGAACAATGATTTTAACCTTTCATATATTCACTGAATTAAACTATATGCACCCACATATTGAGATGCACATCCATTAACCAAATATATGGGCTTAACCTATTGGACCAAACCAATATTGGAGAAGGAATGTTGACTATAATTCTAAATTTACTACATGTATGTACACTAAATGTGGCAAGCTTTTAGTCAGATGTACATATCTGTTATACACAGAAAATCAGATGTGTTACAAAAGTATTTGTACTGAAGATATGTCTGTGAATTGATGTCAGTCTGAATCGGGTTCTGACAAGTCAGAGTGCAAAGTGACGTTCACCTGAAGAATGAAAATACTTTTGTTCATTGTACAGTTTACATAACCTATAGAACCTCTAAAATGCATATCTGTAATTGTTTTTCAGTATTCCTGTATATTTTATCTGATTTTTACACTCTTCTACCACAAACTGTCAATAAATCATCAATGTAGGTAAAATAAATAGTTCATAACTCTGACATCAAACACATAATACCATGTTGAATGGCACCCTGTGAAAGGTCATGGCATGCACACTTTGCTTTCCACCATTGCACATAGGGTTAAACCAGATGACAAATAACCATCCCAATCTACTCAAAAAGTATACTTCCACTCATAAACTGAAACAACATGCACACCTTCAACTAGCAGTAGGTATCCATTAAATTAAATGACATATATTCATTTCACTATACTGAATAATATACTTTTCATTAAATATCCATTCAACCAGCTGTCAAATATATATCCAGTCAACTTGGCAATGCATGTTCATTTATATAACTGAACAGTACATATCTACTCATCTAACTAAATGTAAATCCATTCGGTTAGATGACAAATAATCCACTCTACCTAATGCCAAGTAAAAAAAAAAAAACGTTTAGTGTCCCCACCTGCTTCTTCCCACTTTTTTGGGGGCAATTTTTCCCCTTTTTGAATTATCGTTTTTCAATCACACAAAGAAACAAAGACTTCTGAATGAAAAATGAGATGAACACAGTTGATTCAATTTGCTCTTTTTCTTCATTTGTCATAAATTCTGTATTGTTTTGATGAAAAAATTAAACAAAGAAGACTTTTGTTTGACAAGAACTCTTTGAAAACAAGCAATAGTCATGAAAAAAGGGGTGCAAACTTTCTTAAAAAGAGGTAATTAAAAAGAAACAAAGGACCTCTTCCTCCCTTTTTCGAAAATTCCAGACACTAAACAAGCTTTTTTTTTTACTTGGCCTAACAATGAACTTGAAAGTATGTTTATTCATTTAATTATGCAATAAGCATCCTCTCAACCAGAAGACAAATGTCCATCCAAATTTACTTAATGGTGTAATTTCATTCATCTACTTAAAGTATATGCATTAATTCATGTCTAAACAATGTACCTTAATTACACCAGCAGACAATTGAACAGCTAATGAACTTAACAGTGTTTTTTCATTCATCGAGTTATATAATGTATATCCATTTGACCAGATGACAAACACGATCGACTAAAAAATGTAATATACTTTCATTTATACAACGTATATATTAAATCAGCTGTTAAATGAACTTGATAATACACATTTATTCATCTAACTAAATGAAATATATCCATTCAACCAGCTGACAAACATATCAAGAATGTACATTCATTAAACCACATATGTTCATTCAGTGAATTGAAAGTCATTCAACTAGGTAGACAAAGTATAATTGATAAACCAAAGCAAAAATTTACACTCATTCAGACAGTGGAAGAAAAACTTAAAATCATTAAACTACTTCAACAAATTGAAATAAACAAATGTCAGTCAAATGAAAAAATGTATAAATTCAACCAGACATTCAACCAATTAAAAAATGATAGCAATGGTCATAATGCACAAAATTTTGGTTTAGACTATTCAACACACATAATGTTTGAAAAATCTCCAACTTGATAAGTACACATATTGAAATTCAACATATACTTTTTTATGACTTTTTTTTTAGAAGAAGAAGTATGAAACTAGATTATAAATAATTAAAATTCAAGATATTAAAATATCTCTCTAATGGAATTGTATTGTGAATTTGATAAATATGCTGCCTTTGTGTAACTAACCTCCATTATTTCATCATACAATATTTATGATATATAATTAAAACTTAAAGCTGCAAAAAAATACTTCTAATATTATAAAGCAATGATTGGAGCCAAAAAACTTAATGTGTCCGTCTTAATAGTCCCGTTTTGTTTTTACCACAAAGAAATATGATGTTTGGATTTTACAACTACTGTCAAACAAATTCAGTATAGGTTTACCTGAAAAGCTTCTCAAAACAGCCATGACAGTATGGCTTGTCATTATGTTCTTTAAAAGACCCTTTATTTAGCTGCTTTAGACAGAAGGAGCACACAAAATGCTCTGGGTGGTACTTCTTGAACATAGCTGTGATACAACAACCAGAAATAGGCTTGTGGCAACCAGTGCAGAGTGAACCACGCTTGGCATGGTAGTGAATTTCACAGTATGGTTGTCCTTCGTGATCAAAGAAACTGCCTTCTTTGAATGGCTGCCTGCAGTCCTAAGAAAATAAAGATAATATGATGCTTTAAGTTATGCTATAGCTAGTCATATAATCTTGTATATATTGTGAACAGATGTCCAAGTATTCATCTGTCTCCCATTTATGATGGCTGCTTCCCGCACTGCATTTGAAAAGCTGTGCATGCAGGCAAATGAAATGATGGGAGAACAGGCGAATAATGTTGATGCCAAATTTTATTTTGGAAGCAGGATATTTTACACTAAATTGTTAGGAATTAATCACACTATCATTCACATTTTAAAATGTGACGTAACTTAAAGAATAAAAACATAAATTTACTGTATGTTATTGTTGAGTGTCTCTTAGCATGACTGAAATGCTCAAAAATTACTTTTTGTGGTGGGTGATATAAGTAGCTCAGAGTTTTGGCTCTGAGTGAAACGAGTGCAATGCAGTTAACCTTTTTTAAAGTCCATGAAATAATCTATATTGATAGATTAACTTAAACTTTTCCCATCACTGGGGACAGGTACTTTTGCTTTTGTATAATATAATGAATCTCAGTAAGCTCATGTAAACTTCTAACTGGGTAGACATGATCATATCATGTTTCTATTGTTTAGTGAAAAAATATGAAGATATTGTAATTTCCATTATTATATACCTTAAAGCAATATTTGTGTTTAGCAATACCAAAGCCCTGTGACATACCTGTCAGAAAAATAGTTGCATGAAATGCATTTTTTGTTTCACAAGCTACAAGTTAAGTTCACTATATGCTTGAAGATTAGAAATATAATAATCAATTGTTCCTGAACCAATCGGATTCATAAAAATATTTCCCTAAGACAGCAAAATTAATAAAGTTTGAGTAAGTGTATATTTCGTAAACAACCTTATGCTTGTATCTTGAGAGAGAAAGTATAAGATTGTCTAGTTCAATTTGGTTTCAGGATTTTTGATATGTTGGTGGTGAAGTTGTTATACAAAAATATAATAGTTAACATTACAACTTATGTGACTAAATTGCTTTTTGTATGGTGTAATTTTTCATATATGTGTTTACACAAATGCAGAGTAAGTCTGTCATTGACCCATGTGGGCTTATAACTTGAAACCACAATTACACATTGGTCATGGGTTAGAAAAGTTTCCTATTATAAGTTAATATGTTTCATATTACATCGTAGCTAATTAAACGGCAAAGAAATCATGAGTGCTAAATCTAGTGGAACACCTCAAACTCTTGTTTAATCAAATAACCTAAGTGTGGATACTTTCATAAACCCTACATCAAGCCTGCTACTGGTACAAGGTAACAACCTATTGAGTAGCTTTTTCTTTCACAAACAAAATGACCTGATGTTGTTCATAACTACTGTTTGTTGATGGTTTATATCTCCACTTGAGAAGAGCTCTAGTAGTAAATTAACTTTATTAAGTAAACAAACTGGACTTTCAACTAACTGATGGACATTCATAATCCATCTTTCAATAGGTGATAATGTAAGTTAACTATGGATATATTCATTTGTCTGGTTTTACTCCACTACATACCAAAAGTTATTGGAGTAGTGAAACTAGTAACAAAAACTTCAGTTTAATTTTTCTCAGGCTTTTTGTTAGACAGAGCTGTGTTGGAAGTAATATTAAATATTTGATAGAGTTAAGACTTTTTTATAGATACTTAACACTTGTTAACCTTAGTAACCAAAGCAAACTTTTAAATCTACAATATTTTCTTCAGGGTGCTTGAGATCTTAATATATATATATATATATATATTTAGATAAATTGTTAAAAGCATTTACTGATAATTACAGAACAAAAATGAGCTGAACAGTTAAAGGATTTGTGATGTTTTAGATCATTTCTATTTGGAAGCCACAGTGAACAGATCAACAGAAAGACATCTTGAGAGATGAAAGCTGCTGATTGATTCACTGATCCTGTATAAACCACTGTCCAGCAACTACACAATAAGCACACTTTGTTTTGTGGTATACAATAAGATTAGGTTTCACTTAACATGAAGCATCCAGTCATTCAGTTTTACTTTTCAATTTTTCTGAATGTTCCTCCTATTATAAAGCAGCCCTATCTAATGCTCATGCTGAAATCAGTTTCACCTGAGAATATCAGAGAGTAGGTAGGAAGGAGAAATGTTGGTGTCATGACCATAGGATTTATTAATTATTGGACTTCTTGTTTTTAAGTGATTTTAAAAAACTGCTTTTACTTAAGAATGGCATATCCTCAAAGTAGATGTACTCTCATCCATAATGGATAATTTGCCGTTTGAGAGAGACAAGTGTAAGAGGACTTTTGCTAATGCTGCAAAGGTTACTAACAAGAATGGCATATCCTCAAAGTAGATGTACTCTCATCCATGATGGAGAATTTGCCATTTGAGAGAGACAAGTGTAAGAGGACTTTTGCCAATGCTGCAAAGGTTACTAACATCAGTCAGCATACAGCAGCAGACTCAGAATGATCAGCTGATATTTAGTGCATCCAGATCAGTAGTTTAAACCATATCTCTGAGGAATTGAGTTCAGCACAAGAGAAGTGGATATAACTAAAAGTCGCCAAGGAAGAATGGCACCTGGCGAGTCTGAGACCACTTTGGAAGGTCGCTAAAGGATTTCCAGGCTGTTGCCAACTAGAGTACCACAGCTGTGCTCAAGTCCACCCACACCCAGCCAAAAAGGACTAAAAGCACCATGGCAGAGCAGCTTCTCCAAGTCAGAGCTATCTCTCTGGCAGGTAAGACAGCAATAACCCACAAGAACCATAATTTGTGGAGATCTGTATGATGAGATGCTGTAAGAAACTTGTTGCCCTGCACCAGGAACAAATTGCTCATACAAGTGAAAGAGTCCCTGTATGTCTACCACCCTGCACCTGTGACAATGGTGGCAATTTACCCAGATATTGGCTAAGAACCTGTAAGGAAGAGGCTTTGGCCTGCACTGCAAGTCCCTGTGAGTGAGGCAAAACATATTTTGATATCAGTGTTCAAAAGAGTGGCAAAAGAAGACCTGGACCAGTTTTTGAAACATTTCAAGCAGGAACATTTAGACTCAGGAGCAGGTGATTCAATATCTGATTCTGAGCATAGACAGCCTAACCCTGAATGTCATCAAACACCTGGATGAGGAGAAATAGAAGCACCCACTGGTATACAGTTGTATCTGAATTGTGCCACTAATTCAATTCTGTCTTAGTTCTGGCCGGTGGGTTGGAGAAGCACAGTGGAATGCTTGCACCAAAAAGTTTAGTAGTCAGTTTAGCTCTCTCAGAGCTGGATAGGTTTGGTAGGTACCTGTGACAGCACAAGGGCAAGAGATTGAGTTCCTGGTTTACACAGGAGCAGTCAGAACATTAGTGGACCTCACAATATATCAAGCCCTCCAAGTAAAATCAACACTCTGGCCAGTGGATACTGATTTTCTTCTGGTGAATGGTGACAGATTAGATATTAGAGGAGGGTTAGATATCTAGCTCTATCTAAGAAATTCCTCTTATCATCATTGTCCTCAGGACTGGTATTGGCACCCTCAAGATGGATGTACTACAGAAATTATCCATCAGTTTCACCTGTGCAACAGGTGAACTGATGTTCTACAGGAAAGTCACTCGATGCTAGACAGATCAAGCCCAGGAAAGTGCATTGCATAAGTATATGTAGCAGATGGAATAACTACTTTCATATATATAATTGGTGTTATGTATTTTTTATTCCAAAGTCTAATGCATCAGTACCATGTAATGCAGTTATATGAGCCATGCATAAAATCAACTATTTTTTGCCAAGAAAGCACCTCGTTTTTAAATTGTTGTCTTTCTGATGAGGGATGAAGTCTCAGAATTGTTTTATAATTATGGGCTACTGCCTATTCAGTTGTATGCTGGAATGATTATAGGTGTGGTAAGCAAAGTGGAAGTGGCCAGTGATTATGGTAATGCTAGTGTTGCATCCTTCACACTGTGCCTGAATGTAAAGATGTGGCAACCAAAATATTTTAAAATTTATTTGTTGTGGATTGTGCAAACAGTCCAGACCCAACCAAACGAAGTCAACTCGATGACTTGTTGGCTCAATATGGCAATGTATTTTTAGGGTCAATGACTGTTTTGCTAAAACAATAGTAACTTGCTGCAACAAAGCCAACAGCTAATACATTTTCTTACTTTGTAATTTGATTTTTCATTATTATATTTTCATTATAGAGATTTTTTTGCATTGTTTGCTTAATATATGTATTTAAAACTAACCTAAATCTAAGTTGGCTGAACCTTTTGAAATATCATTTGGATTACAGCCAAAAATATTGTCAACAGTGTGTGTACCAAACTGATGAAACAATGCATTCTAATCTTTATAAGCAAGAATGTGAGAAAAGTCAGCTATACTCATTAACAGGTTGATTTTTAGTTGTTGTCTGAGTAGGTAGTTTGCTCTGATCAGAAGTTGATATTATTAATAGGTACAGGCAATGCATGTCTGATAAACCAAATGTTGTAAGAGCTTCCTTTGGGCATTATGGATGTTGCCAGCACTGCAGTACAGTGGATGTTGAAGTACAGGGTTATACAGGCCTTTGGAGAGTGCTTGGTTGTCTCCACTAGTGATTGCCAGGAAGAAGGAAGGTACACTGAAGCTCTATGCTCATTTTAAATGGGTGAATGCAGTACTCATCTTGATGTCATTCCTTTGCCAATGACAGATGAATATATGAATGCTTTAGATGGTTCTTACTGGTTCAGCACTTTGGATCTGGATACTGGCAAGATGAGCTGGATGACAAAAGAATGCCTGAGACTGCTTTTAGCAGAAGATCATTTGCTTGAATTCTTACTCATGTCATTTGGCCTGTATAATGCACCAGGTACTTTTGAAAAGTTAATGGATCTTACACTGAAGGAGCTGCAGTTGGAAAATGTTTGATCTTCATTGAAGTTTTGGTGTTTGGTTGCATGTTCAAGTCTGTGGTTGAGAACCTGAAAATGTTATTCTGGCAGATAAAAAAACCAGGTGAGAAAAGAAAACACATAAAGTGTTTGCTCATGCACACAGAAGTGTAGCTCCTTTGATCATTGGTCACATTGTAGGTTGAGATGTTTCTACAGACCAAACTGTGGCAAGAGATTAACCTAAGCTTGTAACCACAAGAAACGTCCACCACTTCCTCCGTTTTGTAGTATTACTGATGGTTTGTGGATAACTTATCTATAAAAACAAAACAAAATTCAGTAACAGAAGCAGTCCACATGTTTCAGGCAAGAGTATGCAACATAATCAAAAAGGATCTCTACCTGAAAAGCAACACAAATTTCATGTAGTCAAGTTGCTTACACAGAATATCTATTCAGTCATTGCATATCTCAGTCATCTGGAGAATGAAATGGGTATTCATGCTAGCCCTTACAAAGATACAATCAGTCTATGGATTTCTTATATTAGCTGGATTATGGAAAGCCAGCAGGGAGAAGGGAAGTTGTGCTTTTGACATGACAGCCTTATGATGGAGCCTTTTGCAATGGAAACTATGGTGCAGGGCTATTGTTAAGATGTACAGTCATCAGATAGAGCATTACCAGACTTGTAAACAATTTAATGTTCCAAAATTGTTTTAATATAACATACTCAATGTCTGTAATACTTTTGGATGCTTCTTTCACAGAAGAAGAATTTTAAGCAGTGTAATATACACGTGTCCCATGTGACAAGTATATGGTGACAGTATTACAGAAATATACATGAAAGTATTACAAGTTTCACCTGAGATACCACAGAATAACAACACAAGATGTTTTATCCTTGAAAGACTTTAGTTCAGGTTAATGAAATATAATTTTTAATAAGTACCAATACCTTTTATCCTCACAGAATTAAGTTTATTATTACTGCTTCGGAATGTTTGCTATAGTTTGTCTAATTATAGATGGTATGGACTTCTGTAGACATAATAATATACTACTGAATATGGTACTTCATCTTCCAGTCAAGCAAAACGTTTCTGCTGAACACATACATTAAGCTAGCATTGTAACTAGTATAGAAACTTCCCCTGTCATGTATGAACTCTGCAAATCATTCAGTAATAACTGCCTGCTCCTCACATATATTAAGTTTAACACGTTAAATGGGGTAGAACATTTTAAAATATTACAGCATAAACAGATGTTTTAAGTACTATTAAACTACCCACCATACAAATAAAGCAATCAGGATGCCATTTATTGTTTAGTGCTGAAATATAATTTTTTGTGATTGGACGATTACACCCTGCACACTTCGGGGCAAACAGTTCAAAATAATCCTGTTGACAGTAAGGTTTTCCATCTCTTTCATGGAATCCTTCCTCATCAAATTGTTGACCACACTGGGTGCAGAAGAAATGTTCGGGATGCCAAGTCTTGTCCAAAGCAGTCACACATTTCTGTTAACAAAATAAAACATTCAGTTACATTTTCTACCTTTAGAAATTAAATAATTAACTTTGATATTTTGCTGTTATTGGATGTACTTATTTCTGGCCATTTTGAATGTTAAAGCTACTGATATCCATGTATAGAATAAGAGCACTGTTCTTAGAAAAACTTAATCCCAGACCTTCCAAATGTGGTAAAGCTGCTTCATAAATTAATTCTAAATTCCTGATTCTACTTTTGTGTTATGCAAAAATATCATACATTTTATACCTTCTTATTTTCATGTAGAAATTTTGGAAACTTTTCATTAATTCTGAGTCTATGAAGTTTTTGCATAACATGTGGTCTAGAAAACCATTAAGTTGATTTCATTCTAGCTGACTTTGTTCATTTGTTGTTATCAAGAGGTAATACCTTTTCTACTTGTGGAGGTGGGTGGGGTTGGTATTACTGTACTGCTGTACATTGTGCAAGAATTATAAAACAGACCTACCAAACACTTTGCAGAAATTAGTTTAACCTAAGAATACCACAGTTTTTCAAAGTATAGAATTATGACTGTTGTAGGGAATGTAGGTTCTGGAAATGATAAACTAAACTGAAAACTCTTTACTTTAATGATTAGAACAAATAAAGCTCAAAATGGATGAAATACTATATAAAATATAAAAAGAACACATTTGAAGGATATGGAAAGTAGATGATATTCATAATTCCCCTGTTATCTGGAAATTAAACCAAAGCAAATGTGATTCAACAGATGAGATGCCATTCTGTAGAGTGTCACATAATAATTGGAATTCATTTTGAAAAACATACAATTGACATACAGATTAGATTAAGAAGAGCACTGTTAATTTCTCAGTAATTTTTTTACAGTCATGTCCATGTCATACATATTATGTCTTCTCCAATATTTTCATTAACCTTTTTAAGCCTTGTGTTGTGTTTATAGCATAACTTTGTTTAAAAAAAAAGAAAAAATGTTGAAGGAACTGATACAGGACTTGACCTAAAGTTTTGAAGGCACTAGCAAATGTTGTTGGTTCACCCTCACCACTATCAAATTTGTGAATGTTACTTGCAACAACATTTTTCTCCTCTAAAATTACCTGTAACTTTATCATAATTAATCATTTCATGTATTAAATGTTACAAATATGTATATATCACATTTATATGTATAACTCTTTTGCTCCCTGCCTTCAATATTTTCGAATATAAAAACTCATTGTAATAACATCTAACAGTGTTTTTACTAAAACTTTCACAAAAGTTAAAAGATGCTCCATTTGTGCAGAAATTAATTTATCTAAACCATGAATGCCTGAATTGTTATAGTGCTGATGGTGATCATATTTAGAAATAGTGTTTTATTATTAAAAGATTTGGTTTAAGTCCTTAAAGTTGGTGAAGGCTTAGAAGCCAATAGTTCTTGTGTTAATCATGAACAAATTACAAAAAAATGTGATAAAAACAATCTACAGTTTATGTGATATATGTTTTATTATTACATCCAATGAGCAATCATTTGGACACAGTATTTCTAATCATGCTGCCAGTAAACCTGCACCACAGATGCCAGATTTTGTGAGTTTATCCAGCTGGCCTACAAGCTAATAGCCTTGAAAGCCAATAAAATGAGTTGAAGCTGCTGTCTAGATACCCCCTCCCCATTCCTTGGTACTTAGCTTGGGTATGCCATGCAACTCAAATGAGGATTACAAATCACAATCACAGTGACCTTCCTTACTTAGAACCTAGCAAAATAAATGACTAAGGTGCATGTATCATGGGTTTATGGATACTCAACACTAAGAATCTATGAATCTTATTTCTGAAATATGTACTACCAGCATTTTGCTAGTTTGCTAGGATTTAGTCTGAACCCTGTGATATGAAAATATGACTTTTTTTTTTCTTCTTGACTATACCTAATTACCTTTGTAATGTTCCAAAGAATAAATCAGCTCAACTACTTCTAAGTAGAATTATACTTACATCTAAGATAGACCTGTTACAATAAGCACAACGAGGAGAGAAGATACTGTGATAGTCTGTTTCACAGTAAGGCTGCCCATCTCGTTCAAAGAAGTCCTTTGTTCCAAGTTCCTGATTGCAATGGTTGCAGGTGAAATGTTCTGGATGCCATGCTTTCCCTAAAGCAGTCACCACCTAAAAACATACATGATTAATATATAATGCACTAATAAACTACAAAAACATTCAGAGAATCTATGGCTTAAAGTGCTTATGAAAGTTTTCATTTCCATCAGGAACTATTGCTTTGCTGTCCACTGGTAAGTATTGATATACACAGTAAATTCTTTATAATTAACTAGACAATAAATTATTTCTTATTAAATCATAGTCTTACAGTGCAACAAGTTCAAAGTCTGATTAAGGAAGTTATAATTTCAAAGATACAAATGTATGTTATAGTTTAGCCTCTTTTGAGGAATCATACATATTACCTTTTAATCTAAAATTCTTAACACAAATATTTCCAGATCCTTAAAATTCTGTACATTTAGTTAGAAAACATATGTGACAACAATCAAACATGTAATAAAATAAGCAAAATTTGGTTAACTAATAACTGCTTGCTAATTTCATTACTTCCACTGTTAATAATAGATTCCATACTTTCTACTGCTCTGTCTAAATTTAAAATAACATAAAATGTAAGGACAACAAGAGACCTGCTGGCTTTTTTCATCATCCCATCCACTTAACTAAATTATGCTTGAAAAACTCAAAGCCAGCTCTTATCATTCAAATATTAGTCAATCCTTCCCTTAAACTCTCTTACATTTACTGTATCCACAACATTTGAAGACAACCCATTTCAAAGGCCAACTACCCTGTAAGAAAAGTAAAACTGTCTTAGCTAAAAATGACTCCTACCCTGCCAAAATTTATAATTGCATTTCCTAGTCCTACCATTCTATAAAGCATGAAAAAGATGATGCATTAACACTATCAATTCCCTTAACAATTTTAACATTTTAGTCAAATCCTCTCTAATTTTTCATTTTTTTTCAAGATAAAACAATTTCAGAGATCTTAACCTAACCTTACATGATAATATTTCCATCCAAGGTATCATTTTAGTAGCCCATCTCTGAACCATTTTCAACAATTCAATGCCCTTCCTAAGGTAAGGAACCCAAGACTGAACACAATACTCCAAATGTGGCCAAAAAGTGACCTATGCAATGAAGTTATAGTCTCTTTTAGGCTTGTACAGTTTGACTGTAGATAACCTAAAATCCTATTTGTTCTGCCACTAGCAACAGTACAATGCTAGAATGGTTAGAGAGACTGATCAAACAGAACACCAAGATATTTATCTTTCACAACACTTTTAAAAGTATTCCCATAAAAATTTATATATAATACAAATTATGATATTCTATATGCATTACCTTGCATTTATTACAATTAAACAGCATATCCCATTTATTTGCCAAATCACCAAATGATCAAAATTACTTTTGTAAAGCAGTCAGCAGAACCTCATACAATATCATCATCTACAAATTTAAGTAACTTATTGACAGTTCATTCATCTATGTCATTTATGTAAATCAAAAAGAGCAAAGGTCCAAACACTGAGCCCTGAAGTACACTACTTGTGATATTAATCTAGTTTGACTCAATTCCATTTATAATAACCCTCCTCTCTTCCATTTAACCACTTCTCTATCCAATAAACAAACTTATTCCCTACACTTACAAAGTTTAACAAGCCTTTTATGTGGCACCTTGTCATATGCTTTCTGAGAATCTGTGCACCAAATCCACTCCTTACCCTCATCTATATAAGCAGCAACCTCTTCAAATAATGCCAAAAGTAAGACAGTATTTTCCCTAGTGAAACTATGTTGACTATCCAACAAAGATTTAAATTTTTTAACCTTTAAAAATAGTGAAGTCAAGTTGATATACAGAGGAAGAAATGTTAGTAAAGATTTAGGCTAGCTTGTTGATATTTACTTTTTCAGTGTCATACCCTGACAATATAAATAATCTTTTTTATACTTGTTATGAGCACACTGTGTATATATTACAAAATTAGGAACCAAGCAAATTCTATCTCAATTTTTTAAGTAACTTTCCAAAGTTATTCACCAAACTTAATAAAACATTTTTAAATGTAGTTGAATATTGCTTATCATC